AGTCAACAACAACAAAAAAATGAACTTAAATTATACCCAAGAACAAATGGACTTAACAGATATTTACAGAACATTCTACCCAACAGCTGCGGAATATATATTCTTTTCATCAGTACATGGAACTTTCTAATAGGTCACAAAACAAATCTCAACAAATTCAAGGAAATCGAAATTATATCAAGTACTCTCTCAGACCACAGTGGAATAAAATTAGAAATCAACTCCAAAAGAAACCCCCCAAATCATGCAAATACATGGAAATTAAATAACCTGCTCCTGAACAATCACTGGATCAACAATGAAATCAAGATGAAAGTTTAAAAATTCTTTGAACTGAACAATAATAGTGACACAACCTATCAAAACCTCAGGTATACAGCAAAAGAGATGCAAGAGGAAAGTTCATAGAATTAAATGCCTACATCAAAAAGTGTGAAATTGCACAAATAGACAATCTAAGGTTACACCTCAAGGAACTAGAGAAACAAGAATAAACCAAACCCAAACCCAGAAGAAGAAAAGAAATAACCAAGATTAGAGCAAAAGTAAATGAGATGGAAATAACAACAAAAGAAAATACAAAACAAAAATGAAAAAAAAACCTGGTTCTTTGAAAAGATAAATAGAACTGATAGACTATTAGTGAGATTAACCAAGAAAAGAAAAGGGAAGATCCAGATAAGCTCAACTAGAAATGAAATGGGAGACATTACAACTGATACCACAGAAATACAAAAGATCATTCAAGGCTACTATGAACACCTTCACATACATAAACTAGAAAATCTAGAGGAGATGGATACATTCCTGGAAATATACAACCCTCCTAGATTAAACCAAGAAGAAATAGAAACTCTGAACAGACCAATAACAAGCAGTAAGATTGAAATGTTAATTAAAAAGTTGCCAACAAAAAAAGTCCAGGATCAGATAGATTCACAGCTGAATTCTATCAGACATTCAAAGAAGAATTGGTACCAATCCTACTGATATTATTCCAAAAGATATTGATGCTATTCCAAAAAGGGAATCTTCTCTAAATCATTCTATGAAGGCAGTACCACCCTAATATCAAAACCAGGAAAGGACATAACAAAAAAGAAAACTACAGGCCAATATCCATGATGAATATGGATGCAAAAATCCTCAACAAAATACTAGCTAACAGAATCCAACAGCATATTAAAAAGATAATCCACCATGATCAAGTGGGTTTCATACTAAGGATGCAGGGATCATTTAACATCTGCAAGGCAACCAATGTGATATGTCATATAAAAAGAATTAAAACAAAAATCACATGATTATCTCAGTAGATGCAGAAAAAGCATTTGACAAAATCCAACATCTCTTTATGATTAACACCCTTAGCAAAATTGGCAAAATGTGGTATAGAAGGGACGTACCCTAAGGTAATAAAAGCTGTCTATAACAAACCCACAGTCATTATACTGAATTGGGAAAAGTTGAAAGCATTCCTCCTAAGAAATGGAATAAGACAAGAGTGCCCACTTTCATCACTTCTATTCAACATAGTACTGAAAGTCCTAGCCAGAGCAATCAGACAAGAGAAAGAAATAAATGGCATCCAAATTAGTAATGAGAAAGTCAAACTCTCATTGTTTGCTGATGACATGATCGCATACCTAGAAAACCCTAAAGACTCATCCAAAAAGCTCCTAGAACTGGTATATGAATTCAGCAAAGTTTCAGGACACAAAACTAATGTACACAAATAAGTAACACTGCTATGCACCAACAGCAACTAAGCTGAGAATCAAATCAAGAGCTCAATCCCTTTTATAATGGCTGCCAAAAAAATAAATTAATTAATTAACTAAAAAAAGAAAAAAAAGAATATAGTTAACCAAGGAGGTGAAATACCTCGACAGAGAAAACTACAAAACACTGCTGAAAGAAATCATAGAAGACACAAACAAATGAAAACACATTCCATGCCCATGGATGAGTAGAATAAATATTGTGAAAATGATCATACTGCTAAAAGCAATCTACAAATTCAATTCAATTCCCACCAAAATACCACCATCATTCTTCACAGAACTAGAAAAAGTAATTCTAAAATTCATGTGGAACCAAAAAAGAGCCCACATAGCCAAAGCAAGACTAAGCAAAAAGAACAAAACTGGAGGTATCACATTACCTGACTTCAAACTATACTATAAGATCATAGCCACCAAAACAGAATGGTCCTGGTATAAAAATAGGCATATAGCCCAATGGAACAGAATAGAGAACCCAGAAATAAAGCCAAATACTTATAATCAACTGATTTTTGACAAAGTAAACAAAAATATAAAGTGGGGAAAGGACAGCCAATTCAACAAATGGCACTGGGATAATTGGTAAGCCACATGTAGAAGAATGAAACTAGTCTCATCTCTCACTCTACACAAAAATCAACTCAAGATAGACCAAAGGCTTAAATCTGAGACCTGAAACCGTACAATTTCTAGAAGATAATATAGGAAAAACCCTTCTAGACAATGGTTTAGACAAAGACTTTATGATCAAGAACCCAAAAGCAAATGCAACAAAAACAAAGATAAATAGACGGTACTTAATTAAACTAAAAAAACTTCTGCACAGCAAAAGAAATAATCTGCAGAGTAAACAGACAACCCTGAGAAAATCTTTGCAATCTATATATCTGACAAAGGACTAATATTCAGAATCGACAAAGTACTCAAACAAATCAGCAAGAAAAAAACAATCCCATCAAAAAGTGGGCTAAGGACATGAATAGATAATTCTTAAAAAAAATACATACAAATGACCAAAAAACATATGAAAAAAATGCTCAATGTCACTAGTGATCAGGGAAATGCAAATCAAAACCACAGTGTGATGCCACCTTTCTCCTGCAAGAATGGCAATAATCAAAAAATCAAAAAATAATAGATGCTGGAATGGATGTGGTGGAAAGGGAACACTTTTACACTGTTGGTGGGATTGTAAACTAGTACAACCACTATGGAAAACAGTGTGGAGATTCTTTAAAGAACTGAAAGTAGATCTACCATATGATCCAGCAATCCCACTGCTCTGCTCAGTATCTATCCAGAGGAAAAGAAGTCATTATAGGAAAAATGTTCTTGCATACACATATGTCTTCATAGCTTTGCCTTCCCCAGAATGTCATATAATTGGAATTGTATGGTATATAATCTTTTCAGACTAGCTCTTTTCACTTAGCAACATGCATATAAGTTTACTCCTTGTCTTTTCATGACTTGAGAGTTAAGTTTTTTAAATCATAAAATCTCTGAATAACATTTCATTATACGGATGAATCACACTTTGCTTATCCATTTGTCTATTGAAGGACATGTTGGTTGCTTCCAAGATTTGGCAACTTTGAACAAAGACGTTATAAATATTTATGTGTAGGATTTTTTGTGAAGACAAGTTTTCAAATCTTTTGGTGTATCAAGAAGTGTAATAGCTGTGTCATATAGTAAGGTTATGTTGAGCTTAATAAGAAACTTCCAAACTATTTTCTACAGTGACTGTACCATTTGGCACTCTCATCAGCAATAAATTCTCACCAGCATCAGTTCCTGATACTTCATATCCTCACTAGCATCTGTTTTTTTTCACTCTTTGGATTTAAGCCCTTCCACAGGGTATGTAGTGGTATCCTATTGTTGTTGTAATTCCCTAATGACATACTAAGTTAAGAAGTTTTTCATATGCCATTTACCATCTGTTTATATTCTCTGGTGTTATCTTCCCCATCACTGCAAAATATATCTGTTTGAAGCCCTAAACCTTAATGCAACTCTATTGAAGATAGGGCCTAAAAGGAACTAATTAAGGCTAAATTAGGTTAGAAGGGTGGGACCCTGATCCAATAGGATTTGTGTCCTTATAAAAAGAGTCACCAGAGAGCTTTCTTTCCCTCTTTCTCTCTGTGTGCACAGAGGAAAGGCCATTTGAGGACACGGTAAGAAGGTGATCATCCACAAGCCAGGGAGAGAGGCCTCACTAGAACTGAATTTGACAGCACCTTGATCATGGACTTCTGACTTCCAGAACTATAAGAAAGTAAGTTATCTGTCGTGTAAGACACCTAGACTGTGGTATTTTTTTTGGTAGTCCAAGCAGACTAAAACATTTGGTAAGGATCTTTGGCCCACTTTTAGGTTGTGTTGTTTTCTTAATGTTGAATTTTAATATTTGCTTATACATGAATTATTTAACAGATATGTGTTTTGCAAATATTTGTATCTAGTCTGTGGCATATCTCAATTTTTAGCCCTGAATACTTTGTTTCATAACCGTCAGCTTAAGTATCTTTCCCACTAGTCTGTAAGCCCTTGGAAGGTAAGGAAGAAGTCCTTAAATTGAGGCAACCCCAACAGCAAGCACAGATCCTAGCACAAGTTAGATACATAAGATAATTTGTAGGTTGGTTCACAGAATAAATGGATAAAGAGCGACATGAAGGAAAATGTTAATGTATTTCGAAGAGGAGTTTAATGTCAGGCAGAGGAAGCAATGTCAGCTCCACAGGGCTACGTTATGTCCACTGGAGAAAAATGCCATCTCATAGTAGGGGATAGCATCACACAGGCAGGAGGGGCAGCAGCCCACACATAGTTTAAAGGGGCACCTGCCTGCCAAGGCTGGCAAAAAGGAGACCAGACAGGAGGTGGCTATAGAGACATCATGAACTTCAACTTACCTTAGCTTTGGTACTTTCTTCCCTGAAGACGGAGTGCAGAACTCTGAATTCCAGAATCATTTCAACCGTACTGGGGACCAATCACTTGATTCTATTCTTATCTCTCTGACAGACGACACTACGTCCTCCTCTGATTAATGGACACCATTTCTAAAACTGAATCTTGCTACTAAAATAATTCAGATGATATATTTTTCCAATTCTAGAATCTTGCTTTATTTTATTTAGTCGTTTTCTCTCTCTCTTCCATGTTTTCCAGAGACTGCAGCTAAACCGGGCTTTCAACATCAACATGAAGTTTATCCTCCTTTGGGCTCTCTTGAATCTGACTGGTGAGTGTGTGCATATTTGTCTCTTTACTCACCAAAGAGAAATCCTGGGAAAAGCATGAAAGATGGGTAACGGCGAGAGGTATCATTCCAGAACTCATGTGTAGAATGGTTCTCTGTCCCTCCCCACTGCCCCGTTCCCATCAAGTTTCTTCCTGTGATAGTGCCTGCCTGCCTGCCACAGGAGGATTGCTTATGTGCTTTTGGGGGAGGTGTGGACATTGTCACTCAAATACCAGACCCACTCCTAAGACCTGACTCTGGACCTGCCTGCAACAGAATTGATGTTGTGCACCACAGAGGGCACAGCAGAACATTGAAGAGTCAGCTATCTCCTGGCACAGTTCCTGTTACTTAGGCATAAACCCAGGTTTATTCATAAATCTTCTCTTTCTGTCATACTCCACATTTGATCTCTTAGAAAAACGTTATTGGCTTTGTCTTCTAAACGTATCCTAAATCCAATCACATCTCACCGTCTCCACTGCTCACAATGATCCAAGCCACCACCTTTTGCCTGGATTAGCAAATTATTCTCCTAACAGATCCCTCTACCTCTATACTTCTGCACTCTACAGGTTCTCCATGAGGAGACTGTCATCACTTCTTTGCACAAATCCTTGAGTGGTTCCATTTGTACTCAGGAAACAAGGCCGAGTTCTTACAATGGTCTACAAAACCCTCCATTCACCTTTGAGCCCCTTTCCTGCTCTGCTCCCCTTCATTCACTCTGGATCAGCAGCCATGGCCTCTGTGACGTAACTGACATAAGCCTCAGGACCCATGTTGCAGCTGTTTCCTCTGCCTGGAGTCCCTTCACCCAGATATTTGACTATGCAACTTCCCCCATCTTCATGTTATTGTTCAACATTGCCCATGAAGTTCTACTCTGATGACTGGTTTAATATTACCTGAGGCTGGATGTGGTGGCTCACACCTATAATCCCAGCACTTTGGGAAGCTGAGGTGGGAGGATCACTTGAGCCCAAGAGTTTGAGACCAGCCTGGGCAACATAGCAAGACTCCATCTCTATAAAAAAAATTCAAAAATTTAAAAATTAGCCAGATGTAGTGGCACACACCTGTAGTCCAAGCTACTCAGGGGGATTGCTTGAGCCCAGGAGGTTGAGGCTGCAGTGAGTCTGATCTTGCCACTGCATTCCAATCTGGGCAACAGAGTGAGATCCTGTCTCCAACAAACAACAAACGAATACCACCTGATACTCCTCCTTCTCCCCCAACACACAATTGGTAATACCTTTCTCTCTTTCCCTGTCCTACTTTTATTTCCATAGCACTAATCAACATTTAACATCATATGTAGTTTACTTGTGTGTTTTTCCAGAGCACTAATCACCATTTAATTACATAGTTTATGTGTGTGTTGTGTTTATTATTACTGAATATATTCATTAATCGTAGTAAATGAGAGCAGGAATATCTACTTTGTTCACTATTTAGCCCAAGCTCCTAAAACAGAGCTTGACATATAGTAGGTGCTCAATGTATATTTGTTAAAACAATAAATTATTTTTCCCCTCCTCAGACTCTTAGCATTTGGTCTGTTCTTGTCGTGATACTTACATAATTCTGTCTTGAGTTGTTGTTGGGAAAAAGAGATAAGACTTATTAAAGCATTCTAAAATTGCTAGTAAAAAAAAAATGCATTGACTTAGCATACAACCCACTAAATTGTGGAAGGTATTTAAGAAAGTTTAACATTTAATTTGAAAGACTTTATTGACAACGAAAAAGCCAAACACTTTTTGTTTTTCAAAAGAGATATGTTTCTACCATTTATCATTTTCTTCATGTTTTAGAACAAAGTAAGTCATTTTACAGATTTAGTTTACAGATAAAGTTGCTAGAGAAAAGGGTAGGGGAACTTGGAGCCTATTAAATGACTTTCCTGAAGTTCTTCTAGTGAAATCTTGGAATTTCTTTTCTATGCTTCTCTTTCCAGTTGCTTTGGCCTTTAATCCAGATTACACAGTCAGTTCCACTCCTCCCTACTTGGTCTACTTGAAATCTGACTACTTGCCCTGCGCTGGAGTCCTGATCCACCCACTTTGGGTGATCACAGCTGCACACTGCAATTTACCGTGAGTGATAAGCCTTCAAAGGTATTCCATTCTTTTGGTTCTCAGGTTGGGCACAGACTCTCACTCTCTGAGACCATCTCCCAATTAAATGGGATTAGAAAGGCCTTTGGGAGACATAGGAGGGTACAGAAAAAGGTCTGTGGGGAGGAATAATATAATAATATAGGCTCACAAAGATGGAGAAGCCATCTCTGTTAAGTCCACTCATAAACATCTATATTGTTCCAGAAAGCTTCGGGTGATACTGGGGGTTACAATTCCAGCAGACTCCAATGAAAACCATCTGCAAGTGATTGGCTATGAGAAGATGATTCATCACCCACGCTTCTCAATCACGTCTATCGATCATGACCTCATGCTCATCAAGCTGAAAACAGAGGCTGAACTCAACGACTATGTGAAACTAGCCAACCTGCCCTACCAAACTATCTCTGAGAATACCATGTGCTCTGTCTCCACCTGGAGCTACAACGTGTGTGATATCTGTGAGTTCAAGACAACGTTCTCTCAGAATTAGACATGCTTCTACACCTTTGCAACTCTTGGCTTCTTCCATTCTGCCTAGTGAAGCTTTCTTCTAACCACTTTATTCATCCTCTTTCTCCCCTTTCCTTTTCTCTGTACCTCACTGAAGGAGTGCTTCAAGGTTTTTGGGTTTTTTACTCACTCACTGTATCTTTCTATCATTTTCTCTTTCATATATGGTAGAAGCGGTTTTAGTGGAAAGAAAACATTTGTATTCTAATCCTAATTTTCTATGTGACAGCAGATCATTTTACCTTGGAGCCTCAATTTCCTTAACTCTAAAATAAAGCAGACTACGACGTTGTGTATTTTCAAACCATTTCAGGCAATAAAGCAACTTGAAATAAATATCAATGTATTAAATGTAAAATCAATGCATCATATTTTACTAAATGAGATAGAACTTCCTTATGAAAGATTGAAATAAAGATACACAGTTAAAACTTTAAGAAGAACTTCTGAAATCAACATTTTTAACTGGTAACATTCTAAGCATTCACTCATTTCTTCAGAAAACTGACAAAGAGTTCCCATTATTTTTATCAATGAAAATATTCTATACATAAATTGAAACTCCTGAACTAGATATTCTATCTAAGCTTTCTTCTATGCCTCATATTTCATATTCCATAAAAAACTCCCACAACTCAACGCAGCTTTCTGTTTTCTAAGTTGCATCCCCATCTGCCCATTACCCCATCTCCAAATTTTTATGCAAACCCTAATTAACTGCCTATAGTTGTTAATTATGAGAGTTGAGAGTAGTGGTGAAGGGGAGTTGATTAACTTTTGGCAAAATAGAACAATGATATAATCCCTCAGGAAGAATTATTAATGTAACTTTACTCATAAGTTTGAGTATGTATAATACACATCATACACTAGATACTATAGTGTGAAAAGGAGTTTTATTTGAAATAAGCCTGTCAGGTTACATTCATCTATCCATCACCACTTTCTTTTTATAGAAGCCAATGGGCAGATATATACTTATTCTATCATTGTTGCCATGATACAAGCCTTTTAAATCTACTGCTTAGTAAATACCTTCAGATTTGGAGCACATTTTCTTGTATATATTAAGAAGTAGAAATTATTTGTCCTCTGACAGTCAATCTGATTTTTGGAAAGAGCCAAATGTCCTTTCGGTGACCAGTATGTTTGATTCATCTGGGTTATGGCACATGGGTCAAAACGAGATATAACTTCAAAAAAAATGCATCTTATTTTTATCTGGCTCATGAAGTAGTTAAGTAAGAATTTCCTACGGAAGTATTCCCAAAAGAAATGTTTAGCCATGAAATTATTGCTTGGAAAATAAAGTGAAGGACCTCAAACATTTTCTTTTCAAGACCTAACACATTATTTTCAAATAAAAACATTAAACATACTCCATTATTAAAAAAAAATCTTAAAATTCAGCACTTCTTCCCAAAGAAACGTCTGTGGAAAGAACATGTGCCACATGTGTTCGTACTACTTTGTTGCTTTTCTCATTTTGTTTCAGATTGGACAAATTTTGTTATAAGTGTGCACAGTTCACACTTTGTGGACCATTGACATAAAGAAAAGAACTTTAATTAGGAACCAGGAAACCCAGTTTTAAATCCCAGCTTTACCACATACTAGCTTTATATGTTTAAGAAAACTGTTTTTTCACTGACTTTTTTGTGCAGATACTTGGTTTTGTTTTGACCTGACAAATGAGAAAGTAGGCCAGATATCTGTAAATTCCTCCAGATTCTAAAAATTACATGTCAAAGGAAACTCTTTGAATGCTTAAATTTCGAGAAAAGTTTTTTTTTTTTGAGATGGAGTCTCTTGTCACCCAGGCTGGAGTGCAATGGCAGGGTCTCAGCTCACAGCAACCTCCACCTCCCAAATTCCAGTGATTCTCCTGCCTCCCAAGTAGCTGGGATTACAGGCTCTCAGCACCACACTCAGCTAATTTTTCTACTTTTAGTAGAGAGAGGGTTTTACCATGTTGGCCAAGCTGGTCTCGAACTCCTGACCTCAGGTGATCCGCCTGTCTGGGCCTCCCAAAGTGCTGGGATTACAGGCGTGAGCCACTGTGCCCAGCCAAATTTCCAAAAAAGTTTAAAACAAAGTGTTTCATTTCATTGCAGGAGTGTCTCATATTTACATATAACTTCCAAGAATTTGATCGCTTTTATAAGGTCAGACATTTGCATCATAAGAAATTGTTAATCTGATCATCTTCTGCACCTTCGTTGTCCTAAGTGCCACAGTTCTGATTTCTCTGAATGTTTGATCTCTTTTAATTTCTGATGGCAGGAGAAGAAAAGTTTTTTAGAAGAAGGTTTAATACCTAAGAGAACTCTTAAGGAAGTTTGACTTCTGTCTTTTCTTTAGACAAGGAACCTGATTCACTGCAAACTGTGAACATCTCTGTAATCTCCAAGCCTCAGTGCCGCGATGCCTATCAAACCTACAACATCAGGGAAAATATGCTGTGTGTGGGCATCGTGCCAGGAAGGAGGCAGCCCTGCAAGGTAAAATACTCTCCATGCTTTAATTTTCCCATTTTCTTCCTTCTGTCTTGCCAGAAAGATAACCTGCTTTTTTGTTGCTGTTATGATTGTTTTCCTGGCAGGAAGTTTCTGCTGCCCCGGCAATCTGCAATGGGATGCTTCAAGGAATCCTGTCTTTTGCGGATGGATGTGTTTTGAGAGCCGATGTTGGCATCTATGCCAAAATTTTTTACTATGTACCCTGGATTGAAAATGTAATCCAAAATAACTGAGCTCCTGCGGCAGTTGTGGACCATGTGACACGGCTTGTCCCCATCGTTCAGCTTTAGAACTGAATATAAATTAATTCCTTACATTGCCCCATGCATACCTGTCTCACTTCTGCTAAACAGAATGGGTGCTTGAGCAGTTTTACTTGTACATATCTTCACTGTGATTATTCCTAACAACCCTTCTTGCCTTCTAGATAAGAATGGAAAATCCCAAATTCCTTAGATAACTGAAGTTTATGAAGTGGGAATTATGTTCTCTGTGACGAATTGGTAACTGACATAAAATAAAGACCACTCCACAGCCATTAGACAATGTGTGATTTTGGCACATTACTATGCTGATTGAAAAAAGAAAGTCTAATAAAGTGTCATTTAAATAGAAGTGTAGGGGAGGGCAAAGGTGAGAGGGAGGTGTTACACTAAACTTCTCCTTGCCCATACAGCTCTCAATGCCATAGATGGATTCTGGTCATTCATTTTGCAGGATTCTGGGTGTTTGCTGGAGACATGAGGAGTTACTATAAAAGTTAACTGAGGTTTATGGCACAGCAGATAAATGGGAAATCAATGACAGATTTTCGTAGTACATACTTGCCTTTTATATAAAGCTAGTTGCCCAGGAACTCCACTTTCTCACTCTATAGTATTTTTTCCTCCCTTCCTTCCTTCTCTTTCAACTTCACCCTGTAGTCTGTTACCTCCTGAGAGTTTTAATTCACAGTTTTAGGTGGGGCAGTGTTTTTTTGGCCAGTTGACTGAGTATTTAAAAAAACAAAAACAAGAACAGATTTTAGAGAGTTCAGCCTGTGGCTGCTACAAGTGGACTACTGGAGTCTTTCAGCCCAGCTAGGGAAGAAAAGAAGCCCCTCAGGATGCAGAAGTTCCAGTAGGAAGACTTGATCTCTCCAGGGCTCTAAAACCCCTAAATTAGTAATGCCTAGCTGGCAGTGTGGAGAAGCTAAATTTTGAGTGTGAATTATTAAGTGCAACTGTGAGGGCTTCATCTTCACATATTTTATTAACTGAAATTTTAGTTTGGGAGAAAAATGGTTGGGAGGCCACTTTTCAGAGGAGCACCTTAGCCTCTAAAGATGTCTCCCAACTTGAGCTTGTCCTAAAACTGCAATAGATCAGAGTGATATTGTATAAGGTCAGCTGATCCTAGGTGGTGAAACATGGAAAGGTCACTGGATTCCATGAGCATTAGCACTATCCATAAGACTCCACTAGCATGGTGAGGTGACCTCCTTGGTTGGAGAACACATCATTTTTGTGTGGAATGCAATAAGGCGTTCAGAGAATCCAAGGGATGTGATGCTAGGACAGTAACGGTGACGGGGAAAGAAAATCCAAATTCAGTATATGTTATTTTGAGTGAGGACAAGTAGCTACTCCCTCTGGCCTGAGCTACACCATGCTGCCCATTTCTTTCTTACTGTACATGTGCCAACAAAAAAGGGAAGATGGAGCTTCCATGGTGGACATGCCTGGCCCCCAGGTACACCTTTTCTTCTGGCGTAGCTGCAGGCATCCCCCCACGCAACTTTCCAGCTTTCTTACCTATGTTTGTAGCTTAATATTTCTGTATGCTCTTTGTTAGGAAAAAAAAAATGACGCCACGTGCAGTGGCTCACGCCTGTAATCCCAGTACTTTGGGAGGCCGAGGCAGGCAGATCATGAGGTCAGGAGATCGGGACCATCCTGGCTAACATGGTGAAACTCTGTCTCTACTAAAAATACAAAAATAATAGCCAGGAGTGGTGGCGTGTGCCTGTAGTCCCAGTTACTTGGGAGACTGAGGCAGGAGAATTGTTGGAACCCGGGAGTTGGAGGTTGCAATGAACCGAGATCACACCACTACACTCCAGCCTGGGCAACAGTGAGACTCTGTCTCAAAAAAAAAAAAAAAAAGAAGAGAAGAAAAGAAAAAGAAAAAGAAAAAAAATTATTTCTTTGGCTGCTTTTTGTTGGAAGGAAAGCCCTGCCAAGGACTCTCTTGCCCTCACTACCTAAATAAATTTTCTATCAATTATTGTATCAATAAGAGTGTCATTTTTTAACCTCCTCAAACTCTAACAATATGTTAGGATTTGGAGAGAAAGTTGTTCTTGTAAAACCAAAGAATAATGACTGAGGCACGTTTCCATCAATTTAGAGGTTTATTTTGCTGCAATTGAGAACATACCCAGGGAAAAAGAGACACAAGCCACAGTAGGATCAGTGGCCCATACTTTTTCCAAAGAGGGTTTGGTGCTTCAATAATTAAAGGGGAAAGAAGGGTTAGTAGGGGAAAGAGGAAAGCAAAAGGGGGATGCTAGATCAATAAGGCAAGTGGGTGCATTCTTTTGAGGCCTTGATTAGCATTCACTAAATTCACATTTTACATCTGAAAAGAGGAGTAGAGGAATGGTCAACTACGCATTCCTCTCCACTCACTAAATATGCATTTTTACATAAGATAAACATAGAATAGAGGACACAGTCAGATATGCATTTGTCTCAGGTGAGGGGGAAATGACTCTTAGTTCAGTCTTTATCCATACCTGTAACAATAAGCTGCTGATTTACATCGTCAGGGTGGAATTCAACAGAACTCTCTTTTAGGATAAAGATCTTGCGGCCCACAAGGGATTTTCTTGTAAGAAAATTGTAAGGTGGGCTCCCTGGGAAGATGTGTGGCATCCTATCTTCGCAGCTATTATTTAAGAACAAAATGGGAGACAGTTTTGCACGACTCAGTTCTGAAGCTTAATTGTTCCCTTTGGCATAGTGAGTTTAGGGTCTCAAGATTTTATTTGCCTTTCATGTGGTATTTAGTAAGAAAGATCCTCTATAAATACCTCTATCAAATTTGAAAAGCTATGATCTTAAAAGATAAATGCCCATTGATAGGACAAGATCTGACAAAAACAAGGTAGAGCCTATTTTTGTGCACAGAGATGAACACTAGTTACTGCACTGATGAGACTTTCAAGACTTCTTAGAATGTGCAACTCTCCTCTTTGTGTATTCACTCCAGGAACAGGTGGATTTTATAAATCATAAAACTGGTTTTGTGAAATAGGAAATCAGGGTAGAAAAAAGCTTTGATTTGAAGTCACTGACTATAACAGTTGGAATAGAATCAAATTGTCCACTGTAGTGTAGTACAAAGAGCACAGATTTGAGATCAATCATTGATTCCAACTTCAACAGCTACTAGCTATGTGTCCTTAAGCCAATAATTAAGTAATCAAACCTTTCTGGTCTCACTTTCTTTATCTCTAAAATGAGATCAATAATATTTCTCTGGATTGTTGGGAATAAATAAAATGACTTACATAAGCCATGTAGTGTAGTACTTAGCACACAGTAGGCATTCAATAAATTGTAATTTCACTTATGTCTTTGACAAGGAATGATTGGTAATCTAGATCACCATTTTTTTTCACACTTGTCTTTGTCTATTTGTGCTGCTACAACAAAATAGCTGAGACTGGGTAATTCATAAACAAAAGAAAATTATTTCCTATGGTTCTAAAGACTGTAAAGTCCAAAATGAAGATGCCAGCATTCAGTGTCTGGTGAAGGCCTTTTGACTGCATCCTCACATGGCAGCAGGCAGAAGGCAAACAAGGGACTAGCTAGTTCCCAAGAGCCTTTTTATGAGGCTCTAATCCTCCCACGAGGGTGGACCCCACATGGTCTAATCACCTCCTGAAGGCTCTACCTCTTAACACTGGGGATTAAATTTCAATGCAAATGTCAGGGGGGACACAAACATTCAAACATAGCACCTGTGTTTATCTTTCTTCAATCAGAGTGGGAACTATTTTCATGTCCACAAAATAATTGATAACTCATAAGTCAGAGAGCCAAAGATTCTAACTGAATTTGCCTATATATGTTATTCCTTCTCAAGTTTCAGGTACCTGTGCCTTACCCAGCCTGACTGAAAGAGAGGCCCTTAAATATAAAATATAGAGAAGGTCTTTTTAAACAATAGTATTGTACTTCTTTGGATAGAGGTCTATAAATATAATAACCATAAGACAAGTACATTTTAACAACATTTTGGTAACCAATTTCTATATAAAGATGCTTTGCTATTGAAGTATTTCCCCCTGATCTCAGAATTAATAAACACCTATTGCAGAATATGAATAAAACCCCAAAATTAGCAAAACAGTGTTAAAGTCGCCATACCCATATGTGACTAATTATACAAGTAATTGTGTAGAGTTTTCTAGTATTCTGTACTTCCTCCTCAGATTACTAGCTGCTAATTCATGTCAGGATTTGTTAAGTCCACCAAACGCCATTTATCTGTTTATGGACTCCTTAATATTAGCTCCCAACATTAACTCCTTAATATTAGCTGGATGTGTGCCTAAGCTCAAGGGCCTCCCACTGACCCTGAAGCCCTAATACATATTAGCCCATTATGAATGCCTCCTCAGGTTCACCTGTGTCTAAGCCCCTACCTCTCCATTAGATCCATTTCTGTTCTCCTCCTCAGAAGCCCTGAAATAATGGGATATAGGCCATAAATTCAGGCTATATTTCTGCTTGGTTTGCATAAATCTGGATGATAAAGGAGTATTCCCCTCTCTCTGCCTTCAGAACTGCGAGTGAATTTTTGAGCTCATGCTTTTTGTTCTCTGAGAATGTTTTAAATGAAGAAATAATAAAGGAAAGAAAAGGAGTAAAATCTGGAGGAAGTGAAGAGGAAATACGCCACATATTTCTTGAAATTCACAGTGTATCTAGTAAACATCTAAAAGTTGAATAAGTATCGTATACATTTATCGGTTAATTGAGAAGGTGACAGAGACAAGGGAGAATAAACAGCTCTGTTAAGTGGCTATATTCACTTACCAGTCTTAGAATTCCACAATATTTTTTGTGTGTGGAGAAGAGGAATGCATTAATTTGTAGGCTTTATTCTTATTTGAATAATTTTCTTTTTCCTTGCTAAATGTAAGAAAATGTCACAATGCTAACAAAATCATTTCTCATTA